TGTCTCCAGGAGCTGCGTGCTTGTCCCCTGCATCCCCCTGGTCCTGGGCACAGGGCGTGGGCAGGGCTGGCTGCAGAGGAGGGGAGGAATAGCTGGAGTGAGCTGCCCACAGGTTCGGGCTGGTCTCTGACTCCTTTATCCCGCTGCCTTCCAGTTCTTCATCCTGGTGAGCTTCGTCTTCATCACGCAGCTCGTTGGAGCTGTTCTCTTCCTGGTGCACTGGAAACAGGTACCGTGCCCGTGCCCTGATGCTGTGCCCTGTGTGACCAGCCCCTCTCCTCCCTCCATCATGCCATAGTTCATGGCCCTGAGTTCCCCAGGGGACCGGGACCGGTGCAGGGACAGCCTTTCTCACCCTCATCTTCCTCACCAGCACTCTGAAGCAAGCCTGAACCTGGGTGGGTGGGTCCCCATGTCCCCTCAAAGAGAGCTGGCACCTCAGCCAGTGTGGTGCGGGGCAGGGGAGGGTTAGGGTGGGTGCACAGCTCCCCCAGCCCCATCCCTGGTACCGGTCCCCCAGTGCTCACAGATGGCACCAATCCCGCAGATCCAGCCGGAGCTCTTCCTGTCCGAGCTGCGAAGGGACTACCGTGGGGATGAGGGTGCTGAGGTGTTCTCCACTGCCTGGAACACCCTCATGGTCACGGTGAGCACTCAAGAGGCTCCTGGTGGGCTACCGGGGGGTGGGGAACACCCATGGACCTGCTGAGGGTAACCTGGATGCAGGCAAGGGGCTCGTGGACCCCGATGAACACCGGGCACCATGGTGGGCTGTTCCCCGTCTCCCCAGGTGACGTCCCCTGCATTTTGTCAGCGTATTGATGGTGTTTCCTTTCCTTTCCTTTCCTTTTCAGTTCTCGTATTGTGGCGTTTTTGGACCTGAAGACTTTGGGAATGGCTCTCGCTTCCAGGAGCTGCACCCGGGGACGCCCTGGCCGCGGGCATGCTGCGCCCGGGACGGGCTCCTGCAGGTGGGCGAGCTGCTGGGCTGGGAGCAGTGCCAGGAGAGGAGCCC